TGTTCTAAGGGCTTTGATAGAAAAGAAAAATCAACAAATCCATAAAAATATCTGTAAGGGAAGCTAAAAAAAATAATTAAAAATTATCAAAATGTTTTCAGGAGGATTTAGGAATTTTACAGCCAAAAATTTGGAAATGGAAAAAAAAAATTTTGGTTTTTTTTTTTTTTGAAAAAAAAAAAAAGAAACCGGTAAAGAATCTAATATTGGCAATGACTAATGGATTTAATTTTCACATAGGGAATTCATGAATAAAATCTCTGGGGTAAGCCTATGACCTGGTGTGAGTATAAAAGCTTAAATCATTCAGCTCTACCAATCACACATGCACAGATATTAAAAGCCAATATATTATCATTTTTATTTTGTCGTTGTTGTTTAATATTTTTTTCCAGGATCATGGTACGTTCGCCATACTACCTTGTCTTTGGACTTCTCTCACTATCAAATCACCATGGTGTTGTGTTGAGCCGAGAAGAAGTGGTTCAGTTCTTAAGCCAGCAAGTTGGTATCAGTTCGCCCATGAAGTTGATAACGGTTCCTTCAGCACCAGCAGATATTCTTAAAATGGACAATGTAAGTTTTCATTTGCTAATAAAATAATATTAGTACTCAATAAAATAGAGCTAATAATAATAATAAAAATAAATACTTAATTATCCTCTCTCCTTAAAGGGCTTTTCAGGGATAATGAAACAAATCAGTTTAAACGGAACATAACAAAGTTAAGAATCCCACCTGGTAGTAAACAAACAAATTGGCTATGTTACAGGCATGGCCAAGGATTTGAACTTGGGACTACCAAGAACAAATCCAGTTAGCGGTCACAGCAGGACATGAACTCATCGCCTCTGGATTACAAGTCCATTGCCCTGACTGCTGGGCCACAAAAAAATGAGTGGGAGAACCGTATGGGCCTCTCTGGGAAACTACCCACCCACCCCTCCCCTAACTCAAAGTTAACATTTGCATGTTAGGGGAGGGGTTAGGTGGGTAGTTTCCCAGAAACCTTAGTTGATCTATAGCATCTTCATCCAAGATGGCCCTAGCCTTAAATATGATTATAAACCAAGATGCAAAGAAAGCCAGTTTTATAGCTTGCCATTTGGGCAAGCTGTAGCTAGCACATACAAGCCCAAGAGTCTTTTTCACGTAGCCCAAAAAAAGTTTTGATGAGCAGGAGTGGATACAGTTCTTCTGTAATTTTTTATTTCAATTACCCAAAAATCTTCACTTGCCTGTCTGCCAAGTTAAGAATAGAATTTACTAGCCCAATTGCAAAATCCACTAGTCCTCAGGCTAATTGGACAGGACTTTCTTCGCCCGGGGGGAGAGGGGGGGGGGTACATGGGTTTATGTTTGCTTGGTATGTGCCGCTGGCCTCTCAGAGCCCCTACCCCATTATAGTCTATGTTTTGGCCAATTATAGACCCCATCTTAGTCACTTTTTGGAAAATGTAATTTCTACAATCCCAACTTAGTCAGTTTCTATTTATGCATCTACCTTATCAATGTGGTTTCAAGCAGCGGAATGTAATGCGATCAATGCGAGCTTATTGTTAAATTTAATAAACAACAACTTTCTGTTTTTTTTAACCGAGAATCTTCCCATTTTGAATTCCTACTCATCCCAAAAACCCAAAAATGTGTGACCCCATTCTAGTAAATCTATCGAAAATGCGACCTCATTATAGTCACTCCAGTCGTGAAAATGTGACCCCATCCACGGGCACATCCCTATTAGCCTCTTGTAAGGGAGTAACCCCCCCCCCCCCCCCCCCCCTCTTCCCACAAAAAAAAACCACCCAAAACAAATTCTTATGCATTTATTAAAAAAAAAATCAAAAATTTTTTGTTTTATAAATGAAAAAAAAAAAAAAACAAAAAAAAAAAAAGTGGGAAATAAAAAAAAAAAAAAACAGTGTAGAAAGGGAGTAACCCCCCCCCCCCCGGGTTTCTTTGCACAATTAAAACCAGCCGTCAAACAATTTCTTGCAGGCATTTATCAAGCAAGCTTATAAATT